CCCACCTGAAAATGTCCTAGAACCTGGGGGGCCAAGAAAGGCTGGAGCAACACTACACCCATCATCACAAAACCCTGCACCTACCCAATATCACGGCTTCGTGGCATTTCGGGTTAAGGCCGCCTGGGTACGTTCAACAGCGACAACTTCGCTAGCTGTCTTGAGGGTACTTTGGCCAATGACCAGCAGTAAGGTGCAGAATTGAGTCACAGTTCACAAGGCAAAATCAACAGGCCTTGGACTGGGCCTAAAACCCTAAACCCTAAATCCTAAAACCCCAAAACCCCTAAAACCCGAAGCCCTAAACCCTAAAGCCCAAAACCCGAATCCCTGATCCCTAAAGTGGCTATTCGTTTTTTCGCAGACAGGCCTTGATTCAGACGGGGCTTAGCAGACTTGGGGCGCAAATTCTGGAACAACTACACAGGGATGGCTGGTGAACTTAACGTAGTGACGATAGTTCTGGTGTGCCACTCCTGATACGACGATTTCCGGGTCCCTCCCATTATTGTTGCCTCCCAGAGGTGACAGTGTAGTTCAAACGATCCCGAACCATGCGATGTTCCTAACCAAGGCACACATCCAGCACTTCGCCTTAGACCGCAAACAACCTTATGTAGTCATCCCTAAACCCTAAACCCTAAACCCTAAACCCTAACTTTCTCCAAGCCACACACCAAGAAGCACCATGGCCCAGCAAAGCGACGGCAAAAAGCACTGGCCTTTGAAAACCGCAGGCGATGCGAAAGAGAGCACCGGGCATTCGGGGCGCGGGGGGGGGGGGGGTTAGGGTTTAGGGTTTAGGGTTTAGGGTTTAGGGTTTAGGGGGAGGGGGATGCTGTTGATGGTATAAATCCGGCATTACCTTAAGGACCCTAAACTATGGGAACGATGGTTTATTCCGTATTATGGGTAATGCAGGATTTATATCATCAGCCATAGGGTTTAGGGTTTTGGGTTTTTTTGGGGTTTAGGGTGTAGGGTCTTAGGTTAGGGCTCAGACCTTAAAAAAGGTTCTGGTTTAGAGTTTAGGGTTTGGGCTTTATGGCTTAAGCTCTAAATTTTAGGCTTCTGGTTTCGGGTTTAGGGTAGAGGATCTAGGATTCTGGCAGGGTTTAGGGATGGGTTTAGGGTTTAGGGTTTAGGGCTTTGGCTTTAGGGTGTAGGGATTAGTTTAGGGTTTAGTAATCCTGCGCCTAGTTAAGGGTATGCTCTTTACTCAAGGGATTTGGGAGTGCCTGGCGCGCCCTCACCCCTGAACCCCAAAGCGCTCAACCCCGACCCGGCGGAAACTAAATCCTAAACCTTAACCCCCAAACCCCAAACTGTAAATCCTAAGCCCTAAACCCTAAACCGTAAATCCCTGATCCGCAAAACCAATGGAGGGACGGATCTGCCATAGTACAGTCGGTCGGCAGCTTTTGCTTCAGGGTCATGTTTTTTTGTAGACTTAGCAGAAAATTTCATTCAACATTTCGTAGGAGGGCTGTCTTAGGTTTGTGGTTCGAGTGAAGGTTCGCCGATGCTTATAAGTAGTGTTGCTGTGACAGCTGTTATGACCGTATTCGCAACTAGACAATGAGCTTTCAAGGATTGAGAGCGATGTTTGGGAGAGAGGAGGTGCCCGCAACATGTCGATTACCATAGAAGTTGCATTGCTCAGCGGCAAGACAGCTACCGTGCAAGCCGGCTTGGAAGAAGAGGTGACAGTATTGAAATTTCGGGCAGAGACAGCACTCGGAGTCGGGAAAGGCTTGCTGTTCGACTCGTCTGGAAGCGTTCTGGATGCATCTGCACGCATCAGCACTACTCAGTTGCAGGACGGTGACACGCTAACCCTGCAAATAAACAGAGTTCAAGTGCAAGCCTCGGGCCGCGCGTTTGCGGCCACTCTTGGCGATTGCTCTGTCGTGAGCTGGGGTGATGATGGCTACTGTGATCACAGTGGTGCATTCAAGGATAAGCTGAAAAATGTGAAGCACATCCAAGCATCTTACCGCGCTTTTGCTGCCATTCTCGATGACGGCTCGGTCGTGACCTGGGGTCCCGCTTATTACGGCGGTGACAGTAGTGCAGTGCAGGAGCAGCTAAAGAATGTGCAGCAGATCCAAGCTACTGAAAGTGCTTTTGCTGCCATTCTTGGCGATGGATCTGTCGTGACCTGGGGTGAGTTAGATGGTGGAGGTGACAGTACTGCCGTGCAGCATCAGCTGCAGAATGTCCAGCAGATCCAAAGCTCTCTTCGCGCTTTTGCTGCCATTTTAGCCAGCGGATCCGTCGCGACCTGGGGTGATGTCGATTGTGGCAGTGACAGTAGCGCAGTACAGCATCAGTTGAAATGTGTGCAGCAGATCCAAGCCTGTCGCAGAGCTTTTGCTGCGATGCTTGGTGACACAACTGTCGTGACCTGGGGTTATGCTGGCTCTGGTGGTGACAGTAGTGCTGTGCAGGATCAGCTGAAGAATGTGCAGCAGATCCAAGCCTCTGAAAGTGCATTCGCTGCTATTCGAGACGATGGCTCTGTGGTCACCTGGGGAAATGATTGGTTTGGTGGTGATAGCAGTGCTGTGCAAAGTCGGCTGAAGAATGTGCAGCAGATCCAAGCCAGTGACTATGCATTTGCCGCCATGCTCGTAGATGGATCCGTCGTGACCTGGGGTTTCGCCGACGGTGCTGACTGTAGTGCTGGCCCGAGCCACTTGAAAAATGTGCAGCAGATCCAGGCATCTGGCTACTCCTGTTGCTATGCTTTTGCGTTCGTTCTTCGTGATGGATCTGTCGTGACGTGGGGTCATACTGCCTATGGCGCAGACAGTAGTGCAGTGCAGGATCAGCTAAAGAATGTGCAGCAGATCCAAGCCACTACCGGCGCTTTTGCTGCTATTCTTCTTAATGGATCGGTCGTGACCTGGGGGAACGCTCGCCATGGTGGTGACAGTAGTGCTGTGCAGGATCAGCTGAAGAATGTGCAGCAGATACAAGCCTCTGCCTTCACTTTCGCTGCCGTTCTTGACGACGGATCGCTGGTGAGCTGGGGTGTTGCTCCCACTGATGACAGTAGTGAGTGATTCTCATCGCTTAACAGTTCATGGGACTTGGTAGCGAGACTAGGGTTATCAGAAAGGTAACCCCTAAACCCTAAACCCCGAACCCTAAACACTAAAACCCTAAACCCTAAACCCTAAACCCTAAACCCTAAACTAAACTGTAACAATGCCTGTAATCACTTCTAACCCCAATTAAAGTACCTAGAACCTCACTCTCCAAGTCCCATGATCCTCCAAGGAGACCCTAAACCCTAACCCTATAGATCCCTTTAAGGTGCCCTTTAAGGAACCGTAGTTTGAGAGTAGTGGTGATCCGACCGAGCTGAAGACTTTGTGAAACCCCGCACCCCACACCTAAAACCCGAACCCTAAATAATCCGAAAGCTTAAGCCCTAAACCCCAAACCACTACATCCCAAGCTCTAGACCTTGTGCCCCAAGCTTTAAACCTAAACCCAAAACTCTAAACTGTATTCAGGTGACCGGGTTGGGAGCTATCCGGTCCATCAGTTCAGGTTGAATCTAGGGTGTGGGGTGTAGAGGTTAGGGTTTAGGATCAGGGATTTAGGGGGTTTAGGTTTTAGGGCCTAGGATTTTGGATTCAGGGTTCAGGGCTTAGGTTTCAGGGTTTAAGGTTTAGGGGTGAGGATGCAGCATTCGTGGTTTAGGGTTTAGGGTTTAGGGTTTAGGGTTTAGGGTTTATAGTTCATTGTTCACCATCAAAAACTACGGTTGAGCATCATCGCTGAGTCTGAAGTGCGGGCCGTAGGGGCATGAGTTCTGACTGCTCCACCGGTAAGTATTCCTGGTGTGTGGGTATAGTTGCCTTATTTGTAAGCTTGCTAAGTCCGGGTATCCGTTTTAGCAGAGCTCAACGTGTAGGCGTAAGGTGCCGCGAAGCTCTGGAAACCTGAAAAAACCCTCATTCCGAAAATTCCGAAAACTCCCCAACCCCCAAAATCCCAACAGCCTGAACCCTCGACCCTAAACCCTAGGCCTTAACTCCAAAACCCTAAGCCCCCGAACCCCTAGACCCTAAAAGCCCTCAAAGCCCTGAGCCCTAGATCCCAACTCCGAACCTGAAACTCGAAAGGGGTTTAGGGTTTAGGGACCCTAAACCCAAAACCCAAAACCCAAAACTTTAGATAATGAAGCCTAGCGGTTTAAGGTTTGGGGTTCGAGGTTTAGGGTTTGCGGTTTGGTAAATCCTCAATCTCCAGAGTAACCCTAAACCCTAAATGCAAAGCTCCATTCTTACCATAACGGCTCCTGAACCGAGAACAGGGAGCAAACAAAACGTCCAAAAGTGAAAAAAGCAAAGCCACAAAAAAAAACACTCCACATTTTTCACTGCTTGTGTGGTATCACGTTTTAGGGCATACGGTGCAGCTACGTTTTGGGGTTTTGGGCCCTTGCAGTCCTCACCGGTAGACGTGAGCTCCCTCTTCCACGCCTAAGTTTCCAGCTTCGGTGTGCAACATGTCGATTACCGTGGAAGTCGGACTGCTCAGTGGCAGGACAGCTACAGTGACAATAGGCTTGAATGGAAGCGTGGGAACGTTGAAGCATCGGGCACAGACAGCACTCAGAGTTGGAAAAGGGCGACTCTTGGACCGGTCTGGAAACGTTCTCGACGCTTCTGCATCGGTTAAGCGTGCTAAGCAGAACGATGACAAGTTGACTTTGCACATCAGCAGGGTCCAAATCATCACTTCTGATGCTGCTTTTGCTACCGTCGTGGGTGATGGATCCACCGTGACCTGGGGTGACGCTGACCTTGGCGGCGACAGTAGTCATGTGCACAATCAGCTGAAGAATGTGCAGCAGATCCAAGCCACTAGCGGCGCTTTTGCTGCCATTCGTTGCGACGGATCGGTCGTGACCTGGGGTCATGCAAACCGTGGCGGTGACAGTACAGCTGTGCAGGGCATGCTGAGCAATGTGCAGCGGATACAAGCTACGGGCGATGCTTTTGCAGCCATTCTTGCCGATGGCTCTGTCGTGACCTGGGGTGATGCTGATTATGGTGGTGACAGTAGTGCCGTGCGGGATCAGCTGAAGAATGTGCGGCAGATACAAGCCTCTGGCTATGCTTTTGCTGCCATCCTAAGCGAGGGCTCTGTCGTGACGTGGGGTGATGACGAGTGGTGGCTGCAGTCGCCACGTGCATCATCAGCTGAAGAATGTGCAGCAGGTTCAAGCCAATAACTCTGCTTTTGCTGCCATTCTTGGCGATGGATCTGTTGTGACCTGGGGTGATGCTGATTATGGTGGTGACAGTCGCCCCGTGCGGGATCAGCTGAAAAACGTTCAACAGATTCAAGCCTCTTCCCTCGCTTTTGCTGCCGTTCTTGGCGATGGATCTGTCGTGACCTGGGGTCATGCTGCCTTTGGTGGTGACAGTAGTGCTGTGCATGATTATCTGAGGATGTGCAGCAGATCCAAGCCAACCGCCACGCTTTTGCTGCCATTCTTGGCAATGGATCTGTTGTGACCTGGGGTTATACGCTCTTTGGTGGTGACAGCAGTACTGTGCAGGATCAGCTGAAGAGCGTGCAGCACATCCAAGCCTCTGACCGTGCTTTTGCGGCCATTCTTGCCGATGGCTCTGTCGTGACCAGGGGTGAGTTAGATGGTGGTGACAGTCGCCCCGTGCAGGATCAGCTGAAGAATGTG